GGCTTCCTCTTTAATATAAACCTCACATTTTTGGACTCTGCCCAGTATGGATATTTCTCTGATGATCAGCTGGTAGGTGTTATGTGTGGCCAGCGCTCTCACCCAGGGTGTGTCTTTTGCCAGCAGTTTCTCCAGCTGCTTCCCCTTCTCAATCGGTATTACTGTCGATAAACTGGGTATACCCAGACCACCATCCTTCACTGCAGCATGCAGGAAGCCAATCAATACATACTTGGGAAGCTGGAACCAACCTCTCTCCGCCTGTCTGATCGTCCATCCAGTGCGTTTAAGGTGTTTCTATGGGCATTGCCCAACATCAGGCTGTACTTCATTTGGGGCACAAGATGATGCCGGACTACTTCCACCTTCTGTTGGGGCTTTAATGGAGCCCTCGACACTTCCTGTATCATTTTGCTTAGTATCTTCCTGTGGGGCAAAGACCCCTGTCCTCTATAGTTTAATCGGATGCCCAGGTACTTTACTTCATTCATTGGGCCCATTGAGAGGATTTCAGAGTCTTCAATCTTTGTCTCGATTCACTTATTAGCCACCGTCATTAGTTTTTTCAAAACAATGATTGAGAGTGTCATAGACTCCCGGGAGTTGATGTTCATCCCCGTGTGTGCTAGTGAGATTGCTAGCTTTTCCAACTTCTCTCTCAGATGTTGTTCATTCTCTGCCAAGACCACCAGATCGTCTGCATAGGCCACAACATCAACTTTTTGGTCGGCAAATTGACACCCGATGCGCCTGTCAGCTAGTTCGATTACTATGTCCATCCCCATTATAAACAGCAGTGGGGAAAGGGGTCTCCCTGTCCGACAACTCAGGTGGCATACACAACCTTTTCCCCCAGAAGGGCTTTACCTTTCTCATAACTGCTCTGAAGTATGGAGACCACTGGGGGTGGAGCTCCAAAACACTCTGCTGCTCTGAATATTGTAATGTGGGATACCGAATCAAACGCCTTTGATACATCAATGAATGCATAGGCAAAGTTATCATACCTTGCGCTTACCTCACGTATTATCACTGTAACCAACTGGGTAGCCTCAAATTCCATCTGTGCATAGGAAGCCAAACGGGAATGATGGCAGATCCAGGCTTACAATCCATTTCTCAGCCAACACTTTGTGGAACACCCTGAGAACCACCGAGGATACATTGATTGATCTCAGATCCATTGGGTTGTTGACCTCCCTCTTGGTACGAGTGTTATCCTTGATACTCTCAGTCTCTGCGGGACATGCTCCAACACCATCATGATGTTAAAATACACTGCCCATACTTTCACATTAGAAGCTGTCATATCCTCTGCCGTGACTCTATCGACTCCGGGGGCAGCACCCCTAAAGGCCAATATGGCCTTCTTCACTTCTTCCACTGCACATGGAACAACCATCCTCCACAGTGTTTCCAGCATTCTTCTTGGTGGTCATAGTTACTCCCGCCGTTTACCCGCGCTTCATTGAATTTCTTCACTTTGACATTCAGAGCACTGGCAGAAATCACATCGCGTCAACACCTGCCTGCGGCCTTCGCAATGCTTTGTTTTAATTGAACAGTCAGATTCCCCTGGTCCACACCAGTTCTAAGTCAGCTGCCTGAGGCCACCCGCCTGCCATGAAAGGACGATGGGCACCGCAGCTGCAACGATTCACAGGAGGGGCCTGTCGTGCATCCAGAGTCACTACTGGCCCCTGGGAGGGGGCAGCGCTTCGTCCAGCTGCGGCACGTGCCCAGCCCCGCTTTGCACCCCAGCCTGACTGACCCAGCCCTTAGAGCCAATCCTTATCCCAAAGTTACAGATCTGACTTGCTGACTTCCCTTACCCACATCGTTCTAATATGCCAGAGGCTGTTCACCTTGGAGACCTGCTGTTGATATGGGTATGTCCCGGCGCGAGATTTACACCATCTCCCCAGGATTTTCAAGGGACAGTGAGAGCTCACTGGATGCCGCCGGAACTGCGACAGTTTCCAAGGGGCGGCACAGTGGCTCAGTGGTTAGCATGATTGCCTCACAGCACCAGGGACCCAGGTTCAATTCTACCCTCGGGCAACTGTCTGTGTGGAGTTTGCACATTCTCCCCATGTCTGCGTGGGTTTCCTCAGGGTGCTCCAGTTTCCTCCCACAGTCCAAAGATGTGCAGCTTAGATGAATTGGCCATGCTAAATTGCCTGTAGTGTTCAGGGATACATAGATTTGGGGGGATGGGTCTGGGTGGGATGTTCTGAGGGTCAGTGTGGACTTGTTGGGCCAAAGGGCCTGTTTCCACACTAGGGATTCTATTCTATGAAAAATAAAAAGATATGTTCAAGCCTTGCTCCCTTTCTTGTTACCTAGGAGCTGGGAATCTACATGTCCCCATTGCTTTCTTCATGGGAATACCTCAGCGAATCAGAGCCAACTTGCCAACAAAACAGTACCCTTTGTACTCCTATAGTATTGTTACAATTGTTGAAATTTGGATTTCTTGTTTTTGTTCTAATGGTTGAAATACAGAAGTTCCAATGACATACCTTGCTTTTCAGCAATATTCACTGAAGAACAATTTTTATCTTTTTCTTACGGAGTTCCTCAGATCTTTGGACTAGAGCATCTCCTAGTGTTCTTCGAAGGCCATCAGAAAAGAGATACTGACAGATAAGCTCGCAACTGCAGTTGTGTTTGACAACTGTTTCTAGGTGCAAATGCCTGACATGGTCAGGTCTAGCCAGGTAAAAATCTTGCCAATATTAATGACCCAGCTCACCGAAGGCTTGCAATTGGACTCCTTGATATGGCTAGTGCATTTTGCTTGTACATTGCCTGGGAAATGGGAACATTAGACCCAAAATTAAAAATTGTACAACAGACTTGGCTTCTGACCTACAGATCACATTCTGGAGCTTCTAATCCTGATCATGGTTGGCGTAGAGGAAAAACAGTTGTCTGTTAATGAATACTATCTGTGTTGAGTGTTTCTATGTTCATACTTCACACACCTGGCCATTGGCATTGGAATTTGTTTAATTAAAATGCAGATTCTGGAGAGCTTTTAGGGAATGACTTCAAGATCAATTGGAGTTGGCCAATGCTCGGCAGGCAGGCATTTTTTTGGGACTGTGGTTGCTATGTTAAAGGGGTGAGTGTGCTTGGAACAGCATAAGTACAGCATATTACAATTGATGAACCCATGATAAGTATATGATAAATGACAGTAGTTTGATTTGCTTTTGGGTTTTACAAGTATATACATTGTAAATTCCAAACTTCAATTTGTTTTATAATAACATAATTATATTCTTTATGAAAAATCAACTCTTACATGATTTTGATTCCCTATTTTTCTCATTCCCTGACTGAAAATGTTGATTCTTATTTAAGGTTGGTATCATGGGTGCTGACAATCCAAGATTTGAATCTAGGATCTCAGATGTGTATTGGGCAGACATACTTAAATATACTGAATTTCCATATACTGAAAGGTACATTTACTCACAAGAATGGGAATGTCTATTTTAAAAAAATCTTACATTTAGGAGTATAACCTGGCAACATTTTGCATTATAAATTCCTACAGTCACCTTTATGATGATACCAAGGGCATGCTAACTTCAGTTTGTTGGGAAGATGAGGAAAATGTTTTTTTTCTCCTTGGAGCAGAGCAAGTTAAGGGCAGATTTAGTAATTTTAGATTTAAGCAACTCAGTTAAACATTCTGAGATCAATGATTCAGTGATTAGTTGCTAATGACTTCTGAAAATAAGAGTTTAAAATGCATTTTCTGTTTTTTCCACAGATGCAATAAAGTTTTAGATTTTTAGAAGAAGAACAATGGATGTTATATAAAGCACTGTATAGATTTAGACGATGGTTTTATATTTTGAAATAATTTAAAATTATGACCATGATCCTTAACAATTTACAAATACACTAGCTAGCATTGCTTTACATCATGCCATGAGGATATCAGCTCTAGAAATGAGAGATACAGGTGAAGATACATCACATGCTCCCCGCAAGATGCCTCTGATATGCATTTTAGTCACTCCACGTTTTCTTTGTGTTTTCTTAATTGATTTTTCTTGGCTGGTTCTTGCAACACCATATTGTAGAAAACTGTGAAAAGCATTTTTTTTTGGTAAGACTAAGCAAAATATTTCCGATGATGGAGATTTAAAACGCAAACTGAAATTTTGGAAGCACCCAACAGATCAGGCAACATCTGTGGAGACAGCAAAAAAGTGACGACAGTCTTTGATGCCACTGAGGAGATGGGGGGTGTGGATCAACTGCATTATGTACATTAGGACAAGAGGGTATGAGAAAATGAGGGTACATTTAGTTTTGCGATTGTACGTAATGCACTTTTAAGATGGGATAATTTTCATAATAAAGATGATGTGTTTAATTGTACCAAAATTTATATTTATTATAATGTTTTGTTCATAGTGTTTGTGGGACGTCCCCAGACAATTTTCATACACAAGTGTGACTTCTTGGCTGACACATTTACCCAATACCAGACGAGGAGATGTTTACTTGGATGGAATATTGTTCCTGTTACTGTTAATCAATTATCAACCTTTAGTTTATTTTTTACATTACAATAAGGACTACACTGAAATGCACAGTATTGGTTGTAATGAGCTTTGAGAAGGCTTGTGGCCATAAAACCTGCTATACTATTGCAAGTCTTTTTTACTAGTAAAGAATAAGAATCAAATATGTCAGCCTTGTACAGATTTTCAGATTACAACAAAAATGTTTAAAATCTTTTAGGAATTCTGAAACCGCTTCATTATTTCCAAGATTAACAAAGTAAGTGTTGGAATTTGATTACTTCAGGCAATTGACTAATTAATCAGTGATATTAAAAGCTAATTCATATCTTACAATCACATTGATACTAAATATTATACTTTTATTTTAGTAATCTAGATGATAATACCAGATTCATTGTTGGACAATTTGCAAAGATCCATTTGTAGGTTTTTTTCTAGTCCCAGTTCATGCTGTTGCTGAAAGGTTTTCTCATCTGAAATTAAGAGACACATAAAATAAATGTTTTTAATGTGATTCTATCTTGAAGTGTTATCAGTTCCAATTAAGTGAAGACAAAAGAGCTGGTCATTGACTTCAGAAAGCAAGATGGAGGGCATGCCCATCTACATAAATGGCGCTGAAGTGGAGGTGGTCAAGAGTGTCAACTTTCTAGGAATGATGACCACCAACAGTCTGTCACGGTCCACCCACGTTGATCTAACTCTTTGTGCACCTTCTCTGCAGCTGTAACATTGTATTCCTCTAAGAGTTTGAAGTAGATTTATAGCTCGGATTGTGGATGTTGTGGTTGGTTGGCTCAACCGAGCTGGTTCGTTGTTCCGCTAACATTTCATTACCCTGCTAGGTAGCATCATCAGTGCAGCCTTGTCATTATTAAATGGACCAAACTAGAGGAGACATGCAAACTAATAAACAACACCCTCACCGGAATCCGATTCAGCAGAGAAGAGGAGAAGAACGAATGGCTCCCATTCCTGGACATCATGGTGGAATGCAGGACAAATGGGGAATTCCTAACAAAAGGTACACAGGAAAGCCACACACACTGACCAAGTACTTAATTTCGACAGCAACCACCCTAACACACACAAACGAAATTGCGTGAGAACATTATTTAAAAGGGCAATAACACACTGCAGCAGCACAGAGCTATGCCAAGAAGAAGAAGAGTACCTCTTCCAGGTATTCAAAGACAATGGATACCTGAAAAACTGGGTCAGAACATGCCTATCACATGAACGACACCAGGAAGATACTACATGCCCTGACACACTCACCACGCTACCTTACATCAAGAACACATCTGAACTGACCACAAGACTCCTACAACCACTGGGCATCAGAGTAGCACACAAACCCACATCAACCCTTCACCAACTGCCCACCCAAAACAAAGACCCACTACCAACTATGGACAGGACCAATGTCATATACAAGATTCCCTGCAAAGACTGCAACAAACACTACATTGGACAAACAGGAAGGAAATTAACCACAAGGATACACAAACATCAATTGGCAACAAGAAGACATGACCAATACTCACTCATCTCCATGCACATGGATAAGGAGAACCACCAATTCGATTGAGACAACACCAAGATCCCGGGACAGGCAAAGCAGAGACAAGCCCAGGAATTCCTACAAGCCTGGTACTCCACTAAGAAAGCCATCAATAAACACAGGGCTCGACCCCATATATACTCCATTGCGAAGGAAAACCGGAAGTGAGGTAATCCAGCTCAACGCACACCAGAGTTTAAATAACAGGCGGGAAAACACAACAGCGCTTTATTGGAGGCTGCACTAATGATGTTACCCAGCAGGGTAATGAAATGTCTGCAGAACAATGAACCAGCTCAGCGAGCCAACCAACCACAACATTATATTCCTCGCTCTGTTCTATTACCCCAATGCACTTTGCATGGTATGGCCTGCCTGTACTGCATGCAAAAAAAAACTTCTAACTGTGCCTAGGTACATGTGATAATAATAAATCAAATTAAATTGAAATAATTTCTTCAATTACATGTTTTCAATGGCAGAGAAGAGGTATAATGGAATATACAAAGGAAAACTTACAAGGCTGATGTCATGACCACAGAGCATAATCCCAGATCACCAATGGTCACATTGAACTTTTAATTATAACATGCGGGATTGCTTTTTTTAATAATAAGGACATACAGCCAAAAAAAAAATTGAGCATGCAAATTCTGAGCAATGTAATTCAGTCGCGCATGGATTATCCTCAGGCTTGAGGGAGACTTTGGAATCTTAAATCTGATGGGTGTCAAGGAAGCTTCAAAGGGGAGGACTTCCAAAGGAGAAAAGCACTGTAAACTGAACTGTGAGTTAACATGATGAAAGAAATTCAGCAGTCTGGCCAGAAACATGTTTACGATTTTTCCTTCCAAGAATATGAAGAACCTTTGAAGAATCTGGGTTAAAATCCAATTTCAATCTTGAACTGTGTGTGTTAATGGGTGGAAGTGTGTTCTGTGAAGGTCACAGCCAAGAAAACCCCAAAAGCAGTATTTCTCTTTCTTTTAGCTGAAGCAAGTGCAACAACAGTCAAAAGGAAACAGGACAAAGACCTTTCAGCTGACCTACAAAGCCAAAAATCTCAAAACCAACCGCATACCTATCAACGTCAGTGCAACTAACATCACCCATTGCAATAACCATGGGAAGGAAGGACAGTAAAAGGGTTACTGGACAAATCAGTTCTCAAGGAAGCAATGACAACAATAAAGATTTGGTAGCAGAGGAGGTTAATTCCATGCATGATGCTGGGGATAGCATGCAAATCATAAAAAGTAGGCATTGAAGCTTGCAGTAAACGCTTTTGAAATGGCAGTGCAGACACTATGACAAATAGGCTCTAAACTCTAAACTTTCTAAACCGTAAATAATTTCAAGGTCAGTGTTGGAAGGGAAATAAAAATTAATCAGGTTTTCTCCTAAATCCTGCTGGATTGTGAGTGTAGATACTTGCTGAATCTGGAACAGCTTCATCTGTGACATTCCCTCCTCAGCTATGAAACAGACCAAAGATAGGTGTGGGAGAAATACAGTGTTAGAAAAAGAGCTGTTCAACTGGGGCAGATTTCATTTGAACAATATTGGGACCAGTGTCCTGGTGAATTATCTAATTAGGGTTGAAGATAGGGCTTTCAACTAATTAGTGGGGGGGAGTAAGGTTCAATTGAAAGGTAGTTTAAAAAAATCAAGATGATCAAGTGTGATAGGAAAGGGTAGAAAATATACACAGAATACAACAGCAATTACAAATAGAGGGAACAATAATGGTAAAATGTCAAACAGTAAGGTTCTTTATCTGAATGCATGTAGCATTTAAATCAAGATAGATGAATTTTTGGTACAAATAGAAATAAATATGATTTGATAGCTAATATTGAGACATGGTTAAAGGGTGACCAAAACTGGGAACTCAATTTTCAAGTACATTCAACATTCAAAAATAATAGGCAAAACGGAAAAGAAGGTGCATGAGCTTTGTTAATAAAGGATGGTATCGGTGTGGTAAAGAGCAGTGACATAGGTAGGATAGATCATTAAGCAAAATCAGTTTGGGTGGAAATGTCAAATGACAAGGGAAAGAACTCATGGATGGCAGTCATCTGTAGGTCCCAGAGAGTTGCCTCACTGCAGGGCAGAGTATAATTCAACAAATAATAGCAATATGTAAGAAGGGCACAACAATTGTCATGGGCGATTTTTCATCTGCATATTGACTGGACAAATCAGAGGGCAAGGGTAGCATGGAAGACAAATTTTTAGAGAGCATCCGGAATGCCTCTTATAGCACCATGTTGCATAAACACACCCTGGAACAGACTATTTTAGATCTAAAACTCTGTAGTGAAATAGGATTAGTAAGAGATCTCATTGTTAAGAATCCTGTACGGGGTATTGATCACAACACAGCAGAATTACAAATTGAAAGGACAGCAACTTGGGTCTTAAATTAGTGTCACCAACTTAAATAAGGGCAATTATGGAGGAATGAAGACAGTGTTGGGTAGGCAGGCTGCGATAGTAGACTAAGGGGAAAGTCAGTAGATGGGAAATGCAGACACTTAAGCAGATATTTTATAATAATCAACAAAAAATTCTTCTGGTCAAAAAAGAGACTCAATGAGAAAGGTGAACCACCGTGGTTAACAAAGATGGTCAAGGAGAGTATCCGATCCAAAACTAAGGGGCAACAAAGTGGAGAAAACAAGTGGTAGGCAAGAGGATTTGGAACCTTTTAGGAACCAGCCGCAAATAACGAAAAGGCTAATACAGGTGGACAAAAATGATTATCATAGTAAATTGACAAGAAATATAAAAATGAACAGCAAGAGCTTCTATTGGTGTGTAAAAAGAGAGAAGCTTAAAATGAGTGTGGGACTCTTGGTGAATGTAAGTGGGAATTGATAACAAGAATAGGGAAATGGCAGGCAATTTAAACCAATATTTTGTATTGGTCTTCATGGTGGAGGATACTATAAACACCTTAAAGGTAATAGATAAGCCAAGTGCTAATGGGAGGAAAGATTTTGTAACAATCTCTACCATGAGAGACATTATGTTACCAAGACCTCATGGCCTCTATCCAAGGGGTTTAAAGTATGTGACTGCAAAGATAATAGAAGCATTGGTCAAAATATTCCATAACTCTCTGGATTCTGGGAGGTTCCAGCATATTGAAAAACTGCTAATGTGAGACCTCTGTTCAAGAAGGAAGAGAGGCAGAAATAGGAAACTACAGACCAATTAGCGTAAAATCTATTGTTGGGAAAATGCTTCTGTCTATTATTTCTGAAGGCTTTGCAGCTTCCATAGGCTGCTGTTCAGTGGGTCAGTGAAAATACCGAGGCCCAGCTTCACAGGAGTGGCAATATGTCAAAAGGAGTAGGATGTATTGAATTGTCCCTGAATGTCAACACACCTGCACATTCACAGACCACTTCAGCCAATTCTCACTATGCTGACAGTTGATTAACTAGACTAGGCTGCCACTGCAGCAGTTAAGGTGTAGTAGTCTGTGGCCAGGTCTTCACAGGTTCAAGAACCCAAAAGTAATTAATGAGCCACAAGCTTCATGAAGCTGCCACAACAGGAAGAGAAGCCTTCTACTAGTTCTTCTCAGACAACCAGGTGGTGACTTCCCACAGTTTAAAGTAAAGCACTATAAGTTATATAAATGGAAGGTGTTTATTTAGTTTTACACTAAATTAATCATCATCATGATTTTTGGCACTTCAGTTTACAGTGTGATTTTGTTGCAGCATTTGAGTCTGTATTGTCAGAATGTCATTGATATAAAATTTGTCTGATGGCTTCAGGTTGAAATTTTGGTGAAGCACGTAACTAAGACTGTTATGCAAAGGGACTCTCTAGATTTTCAGGTAGTAGTGTGAAAATCTCAGCTGATTCAGAATAGTAAACTGCATCAGCACAATACCAAGGATGCTGCCTTGTTCTTCCAAACTATTCATATATGTTTGAAATAAATTGTGGGACTCAATTTCAATTTTTATAGAGTAATTTTAATATGCAATAGTCATAATATTTAGAAAAGAACATTTAAACTATATTAATTATGAAAATATTAACAATAACAAACTACTATATTGAGCAGCTTTAAATGGGCTAGGATTAGAACAACTCTATAAACCTCATTCCCTTGTTCTTTCTCTGTAGTCCTACTAATTGTTTCACAAGATGAGGATCAAATACATTACAACTTCAAGAAAAAAAATACCTGAACCAAACCGTGGTATTTTCATCTCTGTCTGGATACTGGCATCACTCTGCTCAACTTTATTTCCACCTGAAAATGGAAGTCAGAACTCTTTGGAATGATATGACACTGAAGAATCAGTTTCTGCACTTTCTTCATAGGATCATATATAGAATCATAAACATATCCTCTAAGGGCAATTAGGTAACATTTTGATTAAAACCTACTTTCTTAGGCCATATATTTAACCAAGCTAATATTAAAAGTCATAATTGACTTGACAACAAAATAATGGGAAAAAATGTCAAACCAATCTAAAGAGACTTGGAGCTTGTCATGGTTGACATGGGCTCTATTTCCCCAGCTTTTGATCTTCCTTTCAAAACTTCCTTCATTTTATTCCTCAAAAATCAAAATGGGCTCAGAGGTGGTAAGGCTCAGCTCGTGACCAAAATGCGTACTGGGAATACCACTGTTGTTGCATGTTTCAGTATGTTATCACATTGCTTAGCAAATACAGATCTGTGCAGTTGATTACTTGATGGTACAGATGTCATTTAATATAGACAGAAATGTCTTTTCCAATGCTGATTCCTCAGGTGTCTGTCCTTACTTCAATCCACTCATGTATATCTATTATTACCATATCCTACAATAGATTTTCTTGCAAATCCCATGTGATTATCTTTGGGTTCTGGGAGAGGTGTATGCAGATGGTGCTAGCACTGGGACCGGGAGGGGGGCAGTAGCTCCTTGGCAAGCAATCAGAACAGGTCCTCCCTGTATGCAAGTCAGGAGCAGTTCCTCCAATTGAAGGCTGATTTTCTTTTACATTTGCTGCTGAGCCTATCAGCATCAAAAGCGGGAAACAGTCAGCCTGTGACTGATGGGGCAGTTTGAAGATAAGTGTGCCACTTACTTGCCATTAATGCAGCTTTGCTTGTTGAGAACTGCTGAGTACAGTGCCAGTGTTAGCATTGCTAAGACTGGCTCTAAGCATTGGTGACTGCTGTTGGCTGGGACCTGGAGCTGTCACCCAGTACAGGAGAAAGGGAGGAAATATGGAAGAGACTACGAGACGTGGGAGAGGAAAGGAAGGAGGAAGCTGCAAGAGAAAAGATGTGGTTGCTAGGGATGGGGTGGTATAAAGGAGGCTACCAGCGTTGCGCAGGGTGAAAGGGTGGCATGGGGTGAAGGAGGAAGCTATAAGGGGGGAAATGAAGGAGGTTGTAAGCTGCGGCAAAGAAGGATGCTGCAATTGGGAGAGAAGAAGGAAGCTCAGGCTGAAAAGATGTGTTACTGTGATGCTTAATATGAACGATCCAGGTTATGGGCAGTTGTCTGGCAAAGCCAGGATTGTAAAGTGTAAAGTGTGTAAAGTAAAATTTAAAATTGAGCTTTCAGTGAACTTCATAAACAAAGTCATCTAATACAAAAGCAAAGAAGTTTTTCTGAGTATATATAAAGTTGTTTGACACCAATGTGCTTATGGTTTGCAAAGTCAGAAGTGATACGACACCAGGTTATAGTCCAACAGGTTTATTCTGTAGAATCTGGAACAATTTGTTTGGAATGAAGGATGGCTAATGTAACCCCACTACTTTAAAAAAGGAGGCAGAAAGAAACAGGGAATTGTAAAATGGTTAGCCTGACATTGGTAGAATGGAAAATGCAAGAGTCCGTTGTAAAAGATTTGATAGCAAAGTACTTTGAAAACAGTGACAGGATTGGACAGAGTCAGCATGGATTTATGAAAGGGAAATCATGCTGCGCAAATCTACAGGAATTTATTAAGGATGTAACCAGTCAAGTATTTAAGGGGGAGCCAGTGCATGTGGTTCACTTGGACTTTCAGAAGGCTTTCAATAAGGTCCCACATAGAGACTGGCATGTGAAATTAAAGTACATGGTATTGTGGGAAGGCAATGGCCTGGTGGTATTATCGTTGGACTGTTAATCCAGAGACCCAGATAACATTCTGCGGACCCGGGTTCAAATCCCGCCATGGCAGATGGTGGAATTTGATTTCAATAAATGTCTGGAATTCAGAGTCTAATAATGACCATGAATCCATTACTGATTGTTGGAAAAACCATCTGGTTCACTAATGCCCTTTAGGGAAGGAAACTGCCATCCTTACCATGTGACTTCAGATCCATAGCAATGTGGTTGACTCTTAACTGCCCTCTGGGCAATTAGGGATGGGCAATAAATACTGCCGAGCCTGCGATGCCCTCATCCCGTGAATAAATAAAAAGGAAGAATATACTAATTTGTACAGAGAATCTGTTACCAGACAGGAAACAAAGTGCATGAATAAACAGGTGGCAGGCAGTGACCAGTGGGGTAGCATAGGAATCATTGCTTAGACTACAGCCATTCACAATGTATATTAATGATTTAGATGAAGGAACTAAATATAATGATATGGTGGCTTTCATAGCAAGAGGATTCAAGTACAGGAGCAGGGATGTCTTGCTACAATAATAGAGGGCCTTGGTGAGAACACACCCAGAATCATAGAATTCCTACAGTGTGGAAGCAGGCTACAGCATCCCACCCTGACCCACCTCCCTATCCTACCCCTGTAATCCTGCATTTTCCATGGTTAATTCACATAGCCTGCACATCCCTGGACCTATGGGCAATTTAGCACAGCCAATCCTCATTCTTCTAAACTCCAGTGAATGTAGTCCTAACTGATCCAGTCTCTCTTCATACATCAGTCCTGCCATCCCAAGAATCAGTCTGGTAAATCTTTGTTGCACTCTGTCCATAGCCATAGCATCCTTCCTCATATAAGGAGACCAAAACTGTACGTAATACACCAGGTGGCAGGGTGGCTCAGTGGTTGGCACCTGGGTTCTCTCCTGGTGCACTCCCAGGTGACTATCTGTGTGGAGCTCATACATTCTCTCCATGTCTGTGTGGATTTCCTCCAGGTGCTCTGGTTTCTTCCCGCAGTCCAAAGATGCATATTATATTCACTGGAGTTTAGAAGAATGAGGGGGTTCTCATAGAAACATGTAAAATTCTAAAAGGAATAGACAGGGGTGTTCCTGATGTCTGGGGAGTCCAGAACCAGGGGTGACAGCCTAAGGATATGGACATCTAGGACTAGATGAGGAAAAATGTCTTCACCAAAAGTGTGATGAGTCTGTGAAATTCTGTGCCACAGGAAGGAGTTGAAGCCAAAACACTGAATGTTTTCAATATGGAGTTAGATATAGTTCTTAAGGATCAGAAGGGTATGGGGGGAAAGAAGGAACAGGGTACTGAGTTGGTTGATCTGCCACGATCATATTGAATGGTGGAGCAGGCTCGAAGGGCTGATTGGCCTACACCAGCTCCTATTTTCTATGTCTCCACAACTATTGATGGTTTTACCTTTAGCCATATAGGCTTTAAGCTCCCATCCTCCAACCTTTTGACTTTCTGTTCTCCGTCAAGATTATCCTTAAAATTCACCCCTTAGAAAGAATCTTAGTGATCTTTCCTAATAGCTGTTCCTTTGGATTGTTATCCACTTTATCTGATTTGTCTACTTCTGTAAAGCATCTTGTAATTCTTGTCAAATGCAACAGCTAAACCTTTGTGTTTTCATAATTTTCCCACATTACACCATTGACCCTCTCATCCAACCCATCTTCAAAGTCATCACTATAGGCTTAGAAAAATTCCAGGCAAGTTTCAAAATGATGAATTTTCTTCAGAACTAGAAAAAAAACAAACAATTTAAGAAAGTTCAAAGACAGGGCTGTGTGCTGAGACGTGGGGAGGAAAAAACAAAAATAAAGATCATTATTGAGTAGAAGGCAAGAGAGATTAATTGTCAGACAACTGATGCAAGTCAAGGGAGATAATAATATAAAGAAACAACAGATGGGTCTGGAGAAAGTATAAATGGGAATTAATTTATATGGAGTTTCATTAGAACAGCATAGGAAATTAATGACAGAGGTCAAAGTGTGAGTCACGTTGAGGTTAAGTAACAGATGCTCAAAGTTCAAAGACACACATGGGGATTGAATGAAAAATCTGTTCAGTAAAGCAATTACCCAATCTGTGTTAGATCTCCTCAGTGTGAGCAGTGAACACAGCAAGTTAAACTGAGAAATGTACAATTAAGTTGCTGTTTCACCCGAAAGGCAATGGAGGAGCCTGTCAATCATTAAGAGGGGGGGGGGGGGGGGGGGGATGGCGGTGGGTGGGTGGAATTGATTTGAGGATAAAGAAAAACTTATGGGAAACCCTGACATATAAGGTGGCATCATCAGAACAAAGATAGAGAAACAGAAACTGCAATAAAGGAATGGTATTTACAGAAATCCTATGAGATACATTATGGATCTGAATGTACCATGAATAGGATTGTGATGGTAGGAGCATGCAAATGTCCCAGGAACTGAGAGTAATAAGATTTCAACATGTGGAGACATTGCAGTCACTAACACATTCTATTCAACTAGACAAATATATTTTCTTAGTTAATCCATTAGGTTAGAACAAAATCTTGGTGCTTTGTTTTAAATGTCTTCCTCCAAAATTGTGAAGAGAAAGGTAATCTGAACATTTTAAACATGTTTTTGCTAATATTGCCAATTTTGATTTATAGTGTATCAAGACCTGCTGCTCTTAAAGTAAGAGACGGGAGATGCAGTGAGATCTTTAAGGAAAAATATGTCATTTTTACCTGATTCCGTGGTTTGAGTGCTGGCATCATTAAGTAAAGCTCTGATCTGCTGAACACGATCTTTATCTATATGAGCAAACAGCATACACAGATGTATTTGTTGTGAAATCAATTTTTGTAATCACTTATACAATTGATTCTATTTGCATTAATAGTAGAGCCAATTTTCCTAGCTTATACAGTTTGCTGTTATTATTGTCAAAGGCTCAAATGATGATAATTAGTTTGTATTTGATGCCAGGGGTTGTTTGGCAGTGATGTTGGTTGTGTGGGGTAGTTGAAGATTTCAAGGTTAAGTTGTAAAAGAAAATCAGTTCTACTGTCCATAAATTTAAATGCTGTAAACAAAGTAACTCTCAATTTTATTAGACTACCAGAGGCTTCTCCTACCAGGCTCTATATTCCTTTGAAGGAGATTCCCACAGGAGGTCAGATACCTTGGTCAGCAAAATATCAGTCAGGTTCAGGGATAAATCAGTTGATAAAAGTTAATAGGCGAGTGTTGAAGAATTATTGACTGCCTTCAAAGTTTAGGCACAGAATGGATGATCCCAATCATGAGTGAAATAATAGATGTTTTGTTTTTTTATTTCAGAGATAGGCAAAGATGAACCAGTTTCAATATCTGCACTGGAATTTATTTACAAATATTTAAAAGTCCAGACCACAAGCTTCTAACTTACTCTTTCAATTTAGTTTCTTTTTCTCAGTAGCCACACACAGGAAATAGTTAATAGACATTCACAATCAAACACTGAACAATTGAATACTACGCATCAGAGGTTGCAAATTTACTTCCAATGGGGATGGGCAGAAGGGGGCTGGCTGCAGGTTTTGTAGAAGTGGTGGTGGATGACCACAAACTGTTGAGGCTGCCAGGTGCAGAGGCATTTGTCAAATCAGTATATTGTTAAAGTATAAAATCAGCCCTTCAGTTCTCCTCCCTCACTCACTCCTCATCCCCTATTTCTGCCAATACATGCCCACCGTGTGCTATCACCCACTCCTCCATATCCTCTCTGTCAACCTGCGTCCCTGTACTCATCACCCAAGGCCTGTCATAGACCCGATGCTAATTTAATGCCAACTCATGCCAATCCATGATTTGCCCATGGTCCTTTCCCCTCACATACACCAAGCCAACTCATTTGTATCCACAATGGCGAATACACTATTCTAAAAACTAACACACTTGTTGAAAAAAACCCATTCACTGCATTTAAGTTACTTTCATTACTGATAAAAATAAGCATTGGGATTCATTGTCCCACTTTCAAGGGCTTATAACCACTTGGTGCTTTAATCAGACTGTGAAAAGATAGGCACCCCACTATGAAAATGCAAGCTTCTGAAATCACTCATCCAGTACTTAAACTTTCAATGATAACCCTTAGGCTCTTGTTAACACTCAGTGTAAAATGGCAAGCACTGCCTTTTAAAAACACTTTAGACATGGTTTTAAAAGAATATTTAAAAGGTATAAGTTTTAGATGCCTTGATAGCTTGACAAATCTTTTTGACAATTCTATTGACACTTACTTTTGGCAATACTGTTGTCAGCTCCTTTGGATAGATATACTGTCAGCTACTTTTGACAGTTGTACTGATAGCTGTCTTGAGAGTTCTGATGAGCTTGACAGTTCCAATGAAGTTCATAATTAGATTCAGTTTATACATTTTTATGCAAATGCATGCCTACTTTTAGCAGTCTTTGCTAAAAAGAGACATGAAGTTGAAGTTTTTCAGCTTGTATTTAACTGGACTGACATGCAAGGAAACAAAAATTTGGAAAGGACAAACCAATTTATATGACATGAGATGATGGAACTGATCATAGTTGGCATGGAGATGAAGCAGAAATCGTTAACGTGTCAATTGTAGTCAGTAGAAGAAAAACTCAGATCAGGCAGCGATTCATTATCGCTGGACTGTCAGTCCAGAGACCCAGATAATGTTCTGGGGACCCGGGTTCAAATCCCGCCACGGCAGCTGGTGGAATTTGAATTCAATATATAATATCTGAAATTAAGAATCTAATCATGACTATGAATCCATTGTTGATTGTTGGAAAAGCGCATCTGGTTCACTAATGTCCTTCAGGGAAAGAAACTGCTATCCTTACCTGGTCTGGCCTACATGTGACTCCAGACCCACAGTAATGTGGTTGACTCTGAACTGCCCTCTGGGCAATTAGGGATGGGCAATAAATGTTGCCTAGCCAATGATGCCCTCATCCCATTAATGAATATAAAAAAGACAGGTAGAGTCTGTTTGGTCAGGGTGTTACCATTCAAAAATTCCTTTTGATGGAATTAAGCATCCCTTAGAAGAGTAACAGCCAGACTAATAGAAAGACAAATTTTTATCTTATTACTTGCTAAGGCAACCTCAGGGACCGCTACAACTATTGAGGTATCTCTCTGCTGAGGACTGTGGGAACATTATTTGCCTGCGTTTTCTTTGTTTTGCTGAGACTATAGGACCACAGCTACTAGACCTGTGAACAGTTTGGGTCCCTAATCTAAGGAAAGTTATACTGGCATTGGAGACAGCCCAAAGAAAGTTCACTAGGCTGATACCAGGTGTGGAGGGACTGTTTTGTGAGAAGAGGTTGAGTAGCTTGGGCCTGTACTTATTGAAACATAATAGAATGAAAGGTAAACTTACAAAATTCTTAAAGGACTTGGCAGGGTAGATATGGAAAGGTTGTTTCCCCTTATGGCAGAATCTAGGACCAGAGGACATCATCTCAGAATAAGGGTTCACACATTTAAGACAGCGAAGAAGAGGAATTTATTCTCCCAAAGGGTTGTGAATCTGTTGATCTTTTACCACAGGGGGCTGTTGAGGCTGCATCATTAAGCATATTCAAGGCTGACATAGACAGATTTTCAATCAGTAAGGGAATCGAGGGTTTTGGGGAAAAGGCAGGGAAGTGGAGATAAGAATTATCAGATCAGCATTTACCCAGGCTGCTTCTAAACATTCCTGCATTTCTGTCTGCAAATATCAAAAACAACTTGTACACTCCAAGACGAGTATATTTTGTCATCTTATAATTTACGTAAGACTCCTCATAAAACCTGGCTTAAACAGCATGAACGTTTCCTTTCAGCATGCTTTGCACGAACAATGTCCAATTTTCTTACCACCACCTCAACTGACTAGCTATCTTTAAAAGAAATTTGAGAAAGTCTCAGTCTCTATTTTGGGAGGGTTTGCACAAACATAAACAATCCCCCACTTTGCCTCGAATTGGACTCAGATCTTCTCTTGTCAGTATGTTCCCAGAGTCAGTTTTTTATGGTTTCTCTTTCCCCTTCTCTCTCTTCCCTCTCCTCTTTTTCCCTTTGCAATTCAATCTCCAGCTTCTAAAATGCTGTTTGTCTTTCCTGTCTTTCAGGTTCAAGTTTTCTTATTTCCATTTTCATTTCTAATTCCCCTTCCTGCCTTATCATTTAATTTTCTATCGTAAGCTGTTTGATCTGCAGTTGAATTTTCACTTACTTAATTGACTTAGTCTTTGCTTTGCTGTTCTTCCGATTTCAACTGTTGTGTTACTACCCAATTCATCAGCTTTCCGAGCCCTTACTTTTCACTTCCATTATAATTTCTCCACCAACTCAATTTGTCTAATCTCAGCTTTTCTTTGCAAATCATTAAGGCATAAATTTTCCACCTCCAAAACAAGCTTAACAAATGACAAATCCAATTTGATATAATCTGTTGTATTTCCTTTTATCCCTTCTGTTTATCATTACCACATTCCAATTAAATGTTGTCGATAGTGGGAATCCTGGATGTGACCCAGCAGTCCACTGTCAGTCTATTTTGTCTATTTCCAGAGTCACAAAACAAAATAAAAATATATTTTATTTACTGAGATAGTCAATTAAGTTCTCTATCGCTATCAGGTTTCTAATAAAAATGATATATAGACTAAGTTTCTTTAATAAATGCAATAATTAGCTCATTATCAAAACAAATCTTATTCAATTAAGGTGCGATAGACTGCAACTGTCAGTAATATAGAAGTGTAAGTGTTTATCCATCTGAATAATTCCAAAACATGCACACAAATACGCACCAGATTTAGTATAAACAAACGTTTCTCTGCATTTCTGAAGAAGGGTCTAGGCCCGAAACATCAGCCTTTCTGCTCCTCTGATGCTGCTGGGCCTGCTGTGTTCATCCAGCTCTACACCTTGTTATATCTTTCTCTGCAGAGATTGGCTTCTGATAATAATGATACTTTGGCTGATCAGTTCTTTTTGAATACAGGAGGATGATACACAGGGTGTTCTCAAGTTTGCCACTGATGTTCTGGCACTTAAAGTCAAGTAATTAATTACACATGGTTGCCTTTGGAATCTCTGGCAGACACAGGAAATACAATATTGAGAAGTTCCTGCAATTGCTATTTCAGAAGATACCTGAACTCAATTAGAAGAGGACCAACCTGGCAAGCCTTTCTCACAGGCTTCTTGTTCCCAATTAATTCAAGTTATCAAAACACCATCCTTGCAGTGGGCTGATCAATTAACCCCAGGAGGAGCCTACAGGAGTTTGTCATGTCATGTGATTTCTAGGAAGCCTTGTTTAAAAATGATTCCACTACCAATAATGGCCTTTCAGTGACGTCTCTTAAAAAAGCCACTCCAGGACTTCTGAAGAAACATTAAGTATGAGGTCTTCATAGCACCAATTTTCACATGGGGATGCACGTGTATGTAAAGGAATTATGTTTTAAGGAGCACCTTAAAGGAGGAAAGGTAGAGACAGAGAAGGAGCTTGGAAGCGAATCTCAGAACCTAGGGTCCCATGCAGCTGAAGACATGACTATCAAATGTAGAGCAATTAATGCTGGGAATATGCATGTGGCCAGAATTAGAGAACAATAGTGATCCTTGATGTTTGGAAGCATTTACAGAATTGAGAGGGACCAAGCAATGGAAGGATATGGAAACTAGAATCAGAAATTTAAAGTGGAGACTGTGATGGATTACAAGTACATGTCAGTCAGCAGGCTAAGGGTAATGGATGA